TAAAGCTAAACAATGTGATAAACACTTCAACACAACCTTTAATATGATTTGTCACACTTAACCATCTGGTTATAAATACATCTGGTTTGTGTCTAAAACTGTGCAAACAGACATAACTTGTGAGACAACTTCAAGCGAACCACTTATTGTAAATCTCTTGTTATATCACCACATCTGGGATTGGGTCTTTTTGTCAACTTGTTTTCTTTAAATTAGCACAGGTTTTGTATTTCTTTTTGGAACTGATTGACTAGGCTTTTCATTCATTTTTTAATAAAAAAAAATATATATATATATATTTGTGGATAATTTTGGCAATAATCACTCAAAAACTGAGGTGCATAAACTCAGATAAATGAGACATATGATCAGTTCCAAAAACGAATACGAAACCTGTGCTAATTGAAAGAAAAATTGATAAAAAAGATGAATGCAATATTTGGTAATAATATAGCATAACAAGAAACTTAAAAGCTATTTTTGTAGGCATTCATTTTTGAGCAAAGTTAGTAGATTTATTCCAATGTGATAACATTAGCATTTCTGGGAAAAAGAAATCACTGGAACACAACATGAAGGTTAAAATTATTGGCTCTAAGTGAATCTGAAAGTCTGTTCTGAGAAGAGTGTTGTTGAAACAAGAACAGAGCTTCCCACAGAGAAAGAAAATCTTTTTTCTCCAAAACCAAGGTAAACAAGGGACCAAACATCCAAGCACTGGCTGCTCAGTGGTGGGAAATCAAAAAATTGATTCCACTTGTGAAAATACCAAACTAAAACTTTCAGGATTGCATCACAACCTTAAACTGAAACACATGCTATCAGTCGCCTTACTCCCTAATTTCACTATTGCTTTGGATTTGAATGTATTGACAGATTTCCTTAAAATTCTGCATTTCTAAAAAAGACTGGATTAGGATGTGAAACAAACATCAGGGAAACACTCTGTATCAGTGACCACACACCTCCAGCTACTTCTCAATCTGCCACCCAAAACTAATGGGAGCTTCACAGGAAGTTAAATGAACTGCAAAGTTATATATACATATATAGATGGAGCAGGGGCTGCTGGGACAGAGAGCGGATTATAATCTTCCTTCTGGCTGTCCTGACAGTGCCTGCAGGCGGAGGCTCTCTGGAACTGTTAGATAGCAGAGAGGTGTCAGTCCACAAGTGCTGTGAAAATGGAGAGAAACAGAGGACAGGGCAGCAAGAAAGAGGGAAATCCAGCAGAATGAAGCGGTTTTCTTCACACACAAAACCTTTTACACACACACATGGAAAGAGCAAAAATACCCTACTCATCATCCAAGAGGTGAACAGTCAGACAAGCACAAAACTCTCCCTCACCTCCTCAATCACACGCAAACATCTTGTTCTGTAATGATCAGCATTGCACAGCACTATTGGGTATTTCTTTGGCCTGTAGAGCACAACAGTGACTGCATTTTAGAACCCTCAGTTAAGGAAGTACTTTTCCTATTCATTGTCTCTATGAAGACTTCAAAAACCAAACCAACCTGCTCTAAGATGATTCACAAAATTACAAATCTGATGTAAAGCTAAACAATGTGATAAACACTTCAACACAACCTTTAATATGATTTGTCACACTTAACCATCTGGTTATAAATACATCTGGTTTGTGTCTAAAACTGTGCAAACAGACATAACTTGTGAGACAACTTCAAGCGAACCACTTATTGTAAATCTCTTGTTATATCACCACATCTGGGATTGGGTCTTTTTGTCAACTTGTTTTCTTTAAATTAGCACAGGTTTTGTATTTCTTTTTGGAACTGATTGACTAGGCTTTTCATTCATTTTTTAATAAAAAAAAATATATATATATATATTTGTGGATAATTTTGGCAATAATCACTCAAAAACTGAGGTGCATAAACTCAGATAAATGAGACATATGATCAGTTCCAAAAACGAATACGAAACCTGTGCTAATTGAAAGAAAAATTGATAAAAAAGATGAATGCAATATTTGGTAATAATATAGCATAACAAGAAACTTAAAAGCTATTTTTGTAGGCATTCATTTTTGAGCAAAGTTAGTAGATTTATTCCAATGTGATAACATTAGCATTTCTGGGAAAAAGAAATCACTGGAACACAACATGAAGGTTAAAATTATTGGCTCTAAGTGAACAGAGAAACAGTGTTTTTCAGTTTGTGCTTATTTATACAACCCTTTTCTTAATGATTAACTATGAATATATAAATATATATTTTAATAAGTACTGCTGATGGAATTTGAGAACAAAAATCTAAAAATATCATTGCATATTCACAGACTTGAAAATTAAGTCAAAATCACATTGAAATTGAGGCTTAGAGAAGCACAATTCAATCTCAAGAGTAGTATGGCCGTTTAGTTTATCTTACTGTTACAAATCAAGCTCTCTATGGAGATAAAGAAAGGGATTTTTTTACTTCCGGGAAACTATGTTGACCATTATTATTAGTGACTCGCTTTGACTTTATCACATGACACTCCACTGGATACTTGCTAAGCCAAAGGACAGAAAGGTGCTAACAGTCTAATGTGATGTGTTAGATTGTACACACTATTGTAACAAGCATGCTTTCAAATTAGGACACTGGGGAGAGATAAACCTCTCTGACATCCTGTCATTTTATCTGATCCAAAATCATGAACTTGCCTACAATTCCCAAACATGCTGTCTAGGTAGGTATCTCACTGGGTTTTAGGACACAGCCTGCATATGCATTCCCTCTTCCAGAGCACAATGAACTGGACTCTGTCACCCCAGTTACTCCAGGTTTGTTGTCACTGGCACACCCGTGCTTGTATAAAACCCTCTAGTCAAGCACACCACACAGTGGCAGTGAACTTTAAACAAGGCATCAGCCAGAGAACGACAGCAGGTTGGCTGGGGTGCAGTTTACTACTCATGTGAAGCTTATATGGTTACTCTGAGGCCTATTTCTTGAAAGAATACAACAGTTGCTGCCCTGTTCTGTTTGTTTAGCCGCAGATAACAGATGTAGATGTAGATAACAGCAGAAAAAATGTTTGAAAGGATGGGACTATAACGTGTACGCGACTGTACGTCAGATTAAACAGGATGGCATGCTGAAATCTATAGTTTTCAATGCTCTACTACAAGATGCACGTGTTATATACGACCAAAATAAAACAATTCAATCCATACACACTACAGCGGCTGGATTTTATCACTTATTTTCACTCTCAACTCAAGTTTCAAGCTTCTACAGCCGCAAATGTGTTTGAGGAAAACCTACCGAATTAATCTACAACACTAATTCATGTCACTCCACACACGGTTAAACGGTTATTTTGGGGAGGACACTGACAGCAAAACACATGACGTCTAACCTTAAAGCTTCTCCCGTCGCTTTTCACGCCGGTGTCCGTTGCTTTATTTGAATGACTGTCGCTCGCCGAGCGCTAGCGGCGACAACACGCTTTCTGCTAATGTTTAAATCACGCCTACGAGTCTCTAATTATGTTTTATCAGTGTTTCATGGCATACATTCACACCGAGCGCAGTGAGGAACAACGTCTAAACAAACGGGGCTTTGTCTGAACCTCGCAGTGAGGATTTCTGAGCGCTATAAAGCCGGCAATGGGTCTCGGAGTAAGGAAAACGGGCTTTTCTTGAAACTTACCAGCGGGTCCTTTTTCTTTTGCATCTTCCGTGAGCGTTCGTCAGGTCTATCTGACTCTGACGGCCGCTGATGGCGTCATCGCGCAGGGCACGCAAAAGGGGGCGGGGCGACGTAGATCACAACACAAGTCAGTTTACTTTACTGAAAGGCAAGGCGTTGATACACTATAATTGATGCATCGTTCTTAGAAATCAGTTATTATAATCATATACGGAGTAATTATTTGTACTAGGTGTAAATAGCCACTGCCAAATATAACAAAGTATACCCGATTCTGTGTCTCTAAATTTTGAATATAATACAATTTTCTTTAGGTATTAATTTTGACATCGTTTTAGGGATCAGAATACGTTTTCAAATACGTTGAAACAGCGTAAATAAGACAAATACAATGAAAACTAAAAATGTAGGCTACCTCATCACTCATACCGTTCGGGCAAAAAAGTACAATTACAGGAAAACCGACAAATATTGCGAAAGTTGTGTCCCCACTGCGTCAGTGTGGCATACCATTCGTTGTTTATTAAAATGGCTACAAATTCAAATATAGTTGTTGTTTTTTTGTTAAAACGATTTTTTAATGTATATTTGGTTAAATCAATGCACTATTTTGCACTGCATTTATTTTGTTTGTTAGTTAGTGCATTCCCGCACTACGCGTTTCAAACTTAGATATAGCACCATCATTTCCATATTTATCTGTTTTAAATTGAATTGGTCTAAACTGATTTTTTTATTATTATTGAAGGAATGATTGAACATTACAATGCATTTTAACAATTAAGTCCACATACACAAGAAACAAGATCAATCTTAATATGTAAGACAGCATTTAAGAGAAGAGAGAATGAAAAACAAATCAATAAAATAAATAATAATAATTAAAAAAAAACATACATATAAACAACTACACAATAGCTCAGATTATCTTTCTTCCTTCCTTAGGACAAAATCAAGGACTACAGTGGGGGGTCTAAACTGATGGTGTTACACGTCCTGATCTCGCCTACATCACAGCCAGAATCCCTCTGACGGATCCGCAGCGCCGCCGAGCGGAGTCACAGCTCTGAATAAGTGGAGCTTTCTCGTTACCAATGACAACTGTTCAAACAAACATCCCAGGACTGAGAACAAACTTAGTTAAACACAGAAATCCGATATGCTGTAGGCCTTTCATGAACATTTAAAAAAATAAATAGCTCAGCAATCAGGTCAAAATATTGCTTTTCTGAATATCGTGTGCTAGGGATAGGAAAGGAAGAGTTATATCCTTGTGTTTTGAAGTGCGTGCAGCTACTTTTCTGCATTCTAAATAACGTTCTGCTATTGGAAACATGAGCTCACCGCTGTCCACGCTGAGGAAGAACAAACGAGCTCCTCTACCAGACATACAGAGTGATGGGTAAGTTACGTTCCAACAAAACGCAGCAGTGAATGTTAAATACCGAAAAATACTAAAGCATAAGCATCTTTTTTTGAAAAGCTGTGACACTGACACTTGAAACCATGAAATTATTGTATATGAAATCCAACTGTGCTAGAAATGACACTCTAACCTCATGTTTGTTCCTTTTTTCAGAATACCATATCCAGTAGGCCTACCACATTCATAACTTAATTCAGAACTAATATTGCCTCCTATGTTTCAAGTGTATTGTGGTCCAGGTGCTGATAATATCTAATATAACAAGTATAATACAAATACTAGGCGTGACAAATACAAATACAATCATATATTGGATTTTGGTCAAATATAACAATCATCTAGAAAGTGATGTAATGTTTGGTGATGAAAACATGCATTAGCAATGAATTTAAAACATCCCACCCTTCCCATAAAATCACAGAAATCTGCATGATATTATCAAGATTTTATCAAAAGATGATTACCAATTTAAATTAACCTTTAACTGGACATTCATGTCTATGTTCCATCCTGTTCTTGAAATTGTGTAAATAATCAAGTTATAATTAATAGAGGTCAAAGTATCTGAGCTTGACCAGAGCAGATCTGTGAAAGTCTGCTGTAGCTTTTTATCAAAATACACCCAAAAATGAACATTCTATCATCATGTATTCACCCTGAAGTTGTTTCAAACCTGCATTAATTTCCTTCTTCTGTTGAACATAAAAGAAGCTGTTTTGAAGAATGCATGTAACCAAGCAGCTGTTGGTCCCCATAGACCTGTTTGGTTGTCAACATTCTTCAAAATATTTTCTTTTGTGTTCAGCAGAAGAAATTCATACAGGTTTGAAACAACTTGAGAACACTTGACCTAAAATGTTAAAATTACAATAACCTAAAATTACAATAAGTGTTGTATAATCTACCCTGCTCTGTGAGCTATTAGAAGCATTTGGTATTTGCGGTTACAGAGACACTACCCTGTATTTTCTTATTTTGTTCTTGCATCGTGGTGCTCGGGATGTTTCTGGGCTGCAAACTTTGGCCAGTGGTTGTGTCGCCCTCAGCCCATAATGTATAATAATAGTATGGCGCAGGTGAGGGCTGGACTTCATTGTCTGCCATTACCTGTCATCTGTAACTCGATAGATGACTAGCCATTGTAGTTACATTTTTATGATGACACGTAATTTGAGTTTACTAGTGAGCTAGATTGAAGATAGCTAAACTCACTCGCAAATTACAGCCAGCCATCTAACTATTAGCGTAACACAGAAACAAGTGTACAGTACACATGCCATTTATGCATGATAAACACGATATTTGAAAAATATTTGTAAAATACCTCAACGCCGTCACTCATCTTCATGCAGGTAGTCTGTTGAGTCAGTTGGACTGTGTGTGTTCTGGCAAACCGTCATGATGTCATGTCAGGCAGGGCGGTGTGCTTTAGATGGGGTTCCACCCGCGAGGACGGGACAAGAATGTTGCATTTACAAAAAGTGACTTTACATTTCTGCACAGTGTACCTTTAAATGTCAATGCAATCATTGCTTTTTTCCCCCCAAAGTTATAGAATTCAAAGGTACTGCATTACAAGAATGACCTAGAGTCTAGACCATCTTTGAAATAATCAGATGTCGTATCTGTTTTTGTGATCTAGGGAAAGAAAGCCTTACAAAGAAAGGTCAGATAATGGTAAGACTTACAGACATTTTACTGTTTTCCCATCTGTCCTAACAAGCGAATAAAATGTCAAGAGTCGGGAAGAGTTTGAACTGCTTTTCTAATGCCATCCTCTACGGATAACATAAATGGCAGGTTTCCATCCATGCCAGTGATGGAATATAAAAGCATATGGGAGATAAAATTACAAAATCGAAAATGCACAGAGAAAACAATACATCAATGGATCTTATAAATCACTTAAATGTATCAATTTGGATTTTTCAGACTATGAAGCTAAATTATTCAGAGATATTTTTCCACAAAACCAGCCAGTGGCACACATCACAGACAATCTTTCCACTGTAAGATCAAAGGTCATGCAAAAGGCGGCGGCGAAAAAAGGTACCATGACTGAATTGACCAATTAAACAAAATGTGTTTTTATCGAAACTTTAAATATGATGTCTCACAAATCTTCTCTAAACATGTCACAGCTCCGCCGAGTGATTTTGAACTTATGTCAAGTATGATGCAGAAGATCGTTCAGCTTGAGAGAAAGGTGAGAACTCAGGCTGTGGATATTGAGCATAAGGTAAGACACTTCCTTTATTCTTGTTGTCTCACTGTCCTGAATCTGTTTTGCTGTACAGCTTAAGTATCCATGTTTGTATGTTTACAATCATCGGTGTTACGTCAGATGTCTCCGGATGCACGGCTGATATCATTTTTTCAGGTGTCTTCTTGTGATATTAGCTCTTAATTTCCTTCCATTTCCTGCTCAAGGCAAGAAGAATAGCAGTTCTGGAAGAGAAACGGAATCTTTTGCAAGAGGCAAAAGGTAATTATTATTTCTTAAACAGGAGTTAAAATTGCAGAAAGAATGAGTTGGCATTCTAGAGACTACAATAAGACACTAAAACACTTAAAACCATAGACTGTATAAAAACACTTTGTTATTATTAGGTTTAAATCCCTTTTAAATTCCCATAATTGTAATGAGAAAAAGATATTTATATATTATTTAAAACGACAATTTATAATGTAATATAATATACATTTTAAGTATTTAGTGTTATATAACAATATAACTAAGTACTGTTGCATTTTTTTCAGTATGTATCTAAGCATTTACTGTATCTATGCCGATTTTAATAAATACTCAAATAAAATATGTTATTAATATCATTCAAAGTATTTATTGTTGTAATCTATGCTTATTTTGAGTGTTGAATTTTCAGTATTTATGCATTTATCTAATATAATACACATTTATATTTAGATTTTAATCATTTAATTTCATTTTCATTAACTAAGCATTTATCTAAGCTGATTTTAATAAATAAAATAAAATTCTATAATTATTAATATAAAGTATTTATTGTTGTAATCTATGCTAATTTGAATTAAAAAAGAAAAGAAAAGCCATGTACGATTCTCATCAATGTTACAGTTATAATAATTTAATGAGGCTCATCAAGTAAAGTAACAAAAATCATAAACAAACCCAAAACATCTGGACATTATTACAGGTGTGAATGGATTATTTGGGGGTGAAATATGACCCAGACATACAGGCTTACACTAAAGTACTAGTTTTTGCTAATGCTTTTTCTACCAGTTAAGTAGTCATATAAAAGCTTGACTAAACAAATGTGTTTACTTTAGAGAAATCTACAAGTAATGAGAACCAAGATGAAGAACTGGTTAAATTGTGCCTCAAGCTTCAAAACCAAGTGTGGGAAATGGAGGTGAGCAGCTTTGTGTGCTTGTTTTCTTTCAACCGGTTACATACTTAGATGTTTGTAATGGTATGCAGAAAACAAACCAGGGGTCATTCCTGTATAATTACAACAAAATAGTTATTGGAAACTCACCAGAATGGTATTTTCCCACCCACACAGAAGTTTCTGAATGATTATGGGATGGTCTGGGTTGGAAGTTATGAAGAACATGATAAGCAGGCCAGCAGCCATCTTCCTGGAGCAACTAATGCACGCAAGAGTTTCAAAATGAACTATGACCTGGTCCTGCAGAACATCCAGGAACTGAACATCGTAGCAGGGGAAGGGGAGTCCCATGTGACCGCTGTCCCTGGTGGGGCCAAACTTACCCAGCAGTCTTCCATACCTCTTTGGCTCTACAAAAACGGCATTGTCATGTTCAGTGGTCCATTCCGCTCCTATCAAGACCCACGCACACAGGTTCAGTTGTTTTCCTGCTTTGGACTTACATCACTTAGTTTGACTACATAAATACCATACATTTTCCACAGCCAGCTTCCATTTACTTTAGATGAATCATCAGATTTATCATTGCTTGTAAGATTTACCTTCCTGTTGTAGGAATTCATGCAGGACTTGATGGATGGGTTTTTTCCTTCTGAGCTTCAGGAAAGGTTTCCTAATGGTGTGCCCTTCCAGGTGTGGACTGTGAATGAATGCACTTTTCATCATTAATATCTTACTACGAATACTGTTGCTCATATTTAGGGTTATGGATTTATCAAATCCCTAACCCTACACAATAGTTCAAAAGTTTGGGTTGATACTATTCTGAAATGTTTTTGAAAGTTTCTTATGCTCATAAAGGCTGCGTTTATTTGATCTAAAAATACAGTAAAAACAGTAATATTAATATATTATAACCATTAAAAAAACTGTTTTCTATTCTTAATACATGTTAAAATGTAATTTATTCTTGTGATGGCAAAGCTGAATTTTCAGCAGCCATTAGTCCAGTCTTTGGTGTCACGTAATCCTTCAGAAATCATTCTAATATGCTGATTTGGTCAAGAAACATGTATTATTATTAATACTGAAAACAATTTTTGTGGAAACTGTGGTACATTTTTTTCAGGAATTTTTGATTAATAGAAAGTTCAAAAGAACAGCATTTGTTTGAAGTAGAAATCTTTTCTACATTATAAATGTCTTTACTGCCACTTTCAATCAATTTAAAGCAGCACTATGTAACTTTTGGCGCTCTAGCGGTTAATAAACAGAACTGCACACATCCCGCGGAAGAACATTCCAACCGGAGCTACTTCTCTAAGTTTATGTCTATGGCGATTCACGCAGGTATGTGTTACTCCGCAGCGGTGACGACCCGACCAGGCTACACTAGTCCAAATATAAGTACTTATTATAAGTGTACCGTAGTGATTCGGAATAAGACAAAAACGCGGTTTGGAAGATGAATTCATGATGTACTCGCTCATTATATACATTTTGCAAATTTTGAACACAGAAAAAGTTACATAGTGCTGCTTTAATGCATCTTTGCTGAATAAAAGTATTAATTTCATTCAAAAAAAAAATTGTACTGACCCTAAACTTTTGAACAGTGTAGTGCAAGTGTTCAACTTTGCCATGTCACTTGCATTATACATCTAATTATTAATAATCAAATTATTGTTAAAATACTTAGGGATTTTATGTGGCGTGTGAAAAATCCCATCGACTTAAATTAAGGAAGGATGCTATATATAGTTATAGTTATCATTCTTTAACTGGTATGTATAATCTTGAACCACAAAAATAGGTTAGTGACAAACGGGACGATGAGTTCATAGTTAGGCGACCAGGGACTGCGTTTCCTGGAAGAGGGCAAACTATAGATGGAGCAGGAAGGCATTCGGTGGACAGTTCTGAGCAGACCAGCTCCACAGCGTCAAAACAGAGTCAGATACCAGGTATGAACATGATTCACAGTTACTCTATTACATCAAAAAATGGATTTTAAATTGACATTCTGTGGCATTTAGGCAAAAAGCTGTCCATGGAACAGTTCTTGCGGAAGCTCCCAGAGACTGTGGTGAAGGAAGGCAAAGTGATTAGTATACGTGACTCCATCAAGGCTCATCTTCTGGTCAGTGTAGTCATGTTTCAGTCCATCCCGTTTTGGGTCGTTCAGTCACATTTCCCATTGAACTGAATTTCCGTTTTGTTAAGGGCTTTCCTGATGGTGCCAAAAGTCACTCGGTGACTACTGTGGAAACATCTACCCTGCAGGCCTTGAGAGAATGGTATCAAAAACCTAATTATCTTAAAGTTATGACCAAACAGAAGAGCTTTGATAGACACCATGAAAGTTGATTAGAGTTCCTGACTTGAATAATTAACTTTTCCCACCCATGTGGTGTGATTCAGTGAGACGGACTCTTCACTATCAGCACAAGACGTCACCACACTACGACTGAAGTCTGAGGATGGCATGGAGACATTTATCATGAGAATGTACTTCACTGAGACCATTGGAGATCTCCGTCACTACTTGGACCTGAAAAGGTTTGAGATATGACTACCAGCTTTCAAAATTGATACTCCAACACGGTTTCAAAATTAAGAGATCTGCCACTCTAGGGAGCATTTTAAGATATCAGAGATGCTCCATATGTAGGCAACTTATTTATGCTGCCTCCTAAAATGCTTTAAAAAATTTTAAAGACAGCATTACATGTATTCCCAAAATACTTCTAATATAATAAACTCACGAACCAAGAGAAATGCAGGTTATAAATATACTTTTAATTAATTAAATACTCAAATGCATAAATAAAAATGTTATAAAACAATTAAAAACTAAAACATTTTCTACAAATTTACTCATCCTTTGGCCTTCCAAGATTTAGAGTTTGCTTTTTCATCGGAACAGATGTGGACAGATTTAATCAGATTTGTATCATTATATCACTTGCCCACCAATGGATCCTCTGCAGTGAATGGGTGCCGTCAGAAAGAGAGTCCAAACAGCTGATAAAAACATCACAATAATCCACACAACTGCAGTCCATCGATTAACGTCTTGTGAAGTGAAAAATTGCATGTTTTTAAGAAACAAATCCATTATTAAGACGTTTTAACTTTAAACCCTCAATTCTGGTCAAAATATGAGTCCATAATCCATAGTAATGCTTCCTCCTGTAATCCATCCCCTGTTGTTATCTCACATCAAAATCCAGACATATTTGTTTAGAACTGTTTTTGCTTGTAAACAGTTTTTCACTTCACAAGATATTAATTGATGGACTGAAGTCAGTGAAAAATTGAAGGGGGTCTGAATACTTTCCGTACCCACTGTACATCTTGGAAGGCCTGAGGATGAATACATTTTCAGCAAATATTCATTTGTGGGTGAACTATTCCTTTAACACCGTTTTGCCCAAATTTTATGTATGGTGTCTATATTTATAAGCAGAAATATTATACAGGTTGTCATCCTTTTCCAGTAAGTGTACAGACAATAATTTGAGCCAATCTCTTTTGACAGAGGACCGGGTGCTGCACTATATGACATCATTAGTGCATTTCCACAACGGTGCTACAGTGATGACACCCAGACGCTACTGTCCTGTGGTCTGACTCCAAATGCAGCGCTGCTCCTGCGTCCACAAGCTTAATCTCACAGACAGTGTGGAGACACATAAAGAACAACAACCATCAGCTCATAACCAGTGAGCATCATTAATGCACTTTTACAGTGATGCTACAACATTGCTGACTCCAGCTGTCTCACTGATCATACATCAACATGTATGGATTTTGGATATTGATAAAATCCAAAAATAAAAAGTAATCAATTGGATTATTAAATTACTAAATGATTGATACATTTTCAATTAAACAATTCAAATTACAATAATTTATTATCAGCTGATATTATAAAAATTATTTTTCTATTCTCTGTAAATGAACCTGGAGGTAACACCCAATCACCTGTCAAGGTGGTCTATGGTTTACATTATTTCATTCCATATTATTGTTCCAACTAAATCTTTAAACATTTTTTCTTTTAAACCATTTTCAGAAATGTATTCATTTACAAATAGTCTTTTGGGTGAGGTCAAATACACTGAAACATCCCTATAATAAACGGGTTTGGCTGCTTTAGATACTCCCATTATTAAGAGGTGCACAAAAATCAAGCATGTTGTTGTTGTTGAATGGTGTGTACTACTTCTGCTTGTAATTACATATTAAATGTAATTGCATATTAAAAATGACTAAATGTTCATTGTAATTTCTATATTACCAAATGCTAAAATGTAGTAATTTCTATATCAAAAGAGAACATGATGTTACAGCATTATACATACTAAAAACAAACATTCAACATAAGGTTACATATGAAATACAAAGCTTTATTTCTAAAAACTGAAACAGCTTAAGACAAACATATAAATATAGTCGCATTTAGTGTTATAAAGTTTTTGCCATATAAGGTTTGCCTGTCTGGTTTTGTGTTAAACCTGTAAGAGATCTTACAACATGAAAAACATATGGTGCACCGTCAAATTACATTCACACTGTGTTGTTTCTGGACCAAAATATTAAAATTTACCACGCAAGATTCCCCACAATATATGGTCCCTTTTTGTAATAGAATCCCAATACCTTGGCAGTCGCACATTACAGTAGAGAAAGACAATTAGTGTTTACATTGACTTGTTGTGCAGCAAATACAGGTTACTTCCCTGAACGCAAGGCACCTGCTCTAATGTTTGACATGCACTAATATTTGCTTCACCAGTTGGTTGCCTCTGATGTGTTGACTCAATGGTGTGGCTATTTTTACAGGTGATAAAACTAATTATGAACCAGACAGCTATTAATGTTGTGAGATCCTGGAGACACCTTTGATAATATGATACTGAAAATATGATCAGTTACTCTGCAATTAAGTGATCCTAAACTTAAACGGCACATGAACATCAGTTTGCAGAATTTTTATATGTATCGTCAGGAAGAGGTCCAACTATTGGCATTCTATTAACTTTTTTTATTTAATAGACAACCAGAATTTAATATTATGTTTACAGCCCTCTCTTGCTTTAAAATATCCCTATTTATTGGTCTGCATAATACAGTGTACACGAAGACTCTTTACAGCATTATGGAAACTGTTCTGACAGGTCTGTCTTTGATCACACTGAACTTTGGTTGTATATAATATTAAAGAATGTCTGTTCTCCAACTTTATACATATATGATCTGCTGGTGTAATTTTAAACAGCCAGAGGTGGCCAAATATTTCCTCAGCCTTAGATTCTGCGTTTAATGTGGTACGTTCTGTTTACTGTAAGATGATGGATCGCAGTTAAAGTCTTCTTATTACACACAACCGAGCGTCACTTGCTTCACAGGCTTTGCCATTGTAAAAAACACACGGCATGTTAGTTGCACCAAAAGACTAAATATTTTCAGTTGATTGTCAACTTCATCACAGACGTTCCCAAATACATGGAAAGGTTTAAATTAAATCATTCTCTTTCCACTGCACACAAAGTCATCAAAATCTTAGAAAAATATTTTATGAAACCTTTTGTATAAAAATAGCCTTCTGGTTTGCGAGATTACAGTGTCCTTAGTGTCGCTAATCCTTCATGAAGAAGGTTTGTAGTGGATTGTAGTGTCTTTAAAGGCACTCGTGATGTGGAGTTACCATCATTGAGCACAAGCCGTACTGTCCGAGCTCACTGAGTGATGCAGTTTTCTCCCATATCCTGAGCATAGCGGTCAGAGGCTGTGGTTCTCAGTTCCTCGATGTCTCGATGGAGCTGCTGAGCTTCCTGCAGCTTCTTCTGCAGCCCCTCAGGGCTCAGCCAGTCCTCCCACTGCTCTCCTACTGCAGGGGGAGCTGCTGCAGACAAACAGAGACACAGTGTCAGAGTCACTGCTGATAATGGCCACAACACACAGAACACAACGAAGCTGCCATACAGAGTTTCTATGACAGTATGGTAAAAACTACTGAGATGTAATCACCAACAGCCAAGTGTGTACTAGGAATCGGTGATATATTGAATATTCACAATGAGTGTAATATTCTCTATGTATGTGTATATGTGTATTACAACAGACTTAAATTTTGTTTCTGATTTAAATGTGAGCAGCAAAAACATGTTAGTAATTTTGATTCATTTTCTTGAATCAAAGTGTCAACTTCAATTATCGTAATAGATTCAAATATTAATTAGCATCATCACTTACAGAAGACTACGTCATTCATCACATTAAAATGTTACAGTAAAAAAAATACAATGTAGATATTGCTGTTTATAGCATGCATAATATATACAAAATTTAAGAGCCTACATATACTTATACATCTTTAAATAAAATGAATTTTAAAAAATGTAAATGAAATCAAATGGTATAAAACGTAAAATAATTTCAATTTATCGAATTAAAAATTGAAATGAATAAAATTAAATATTCTTAATGAAAACATTCCATATTTTTTTACATTTAGATTTAATTTGAACTTTTACTGTGATAAACTCAATAAACATTTTGATTTACATTTTAATCTCTAACATTAGCAACATAGGCTGTTTTGTTGAAAATGAAAATGGTTTGTTGAAAATAAAGAAAGAAATAAACAAACAAAAGCCATTAAAGAGCAAATAGACATAATAAATATTGAAGGCTGAACATAATTTTTTTGCCTTATTTTATTGAAAAAAATACAATAAAAAAATAAATAAAGCAAGTGTACACAATCACTAATACACCTTAGTCATGCTAGACACAATATTGCATTTTTATGTGGATGATAACGAGACTGTGAGGGACACACTACAGACTTTACAATGATACATGCTGTATAAAGGTACTATATCATGTTTGTCTTTCAAAACTGTTGTCTACTGAATTATTACTACTGGAGTTTTTCTCTATTGAATTTCTCTTCTGCTATATCTGAAGGCGCGCTAGTATTCTTTATAGCATGATGACAGCAGAGGGCGCACTTACAGGCAATGCCGAGCAGCATGGAGAGGTTTGGGTCATGGCCTTGAGCCCGCTGGGTGAGGACGTTGCAGAGGGAGCGGAGGTCACACAGACAGGCGGCCATCTCTCCATACAGTTTCTGGGTGAGCCGGGCTCCCACAGGGAGCAAACCACGGCCATATGGCGCCTCCTCACCCTGAAGACGCTCTTGAAGTGTCAGATTATGTTCCATCAGTTCCTGGTTCTGCACCGAGAGCTGAAATACAAACACATGCACACCGTCAGTTCTCCTGTGTGCTATGAAAACACAAAGGCAAAGAGCTGAACATGCATTACGGTCAACTACTAACCTCTTTCATAGCGGTGCGTAACTGCAGCAGACTCTCCTCTTTCTCTGCCACCTCCTCTCGCAGCGACTGACTACTGCACTCCTCCTGAGAGAGCTGCTCCTCCAGAGTCTAAGGCAACACACACACAATATTATAGCTGTAAACTAAACATTTTGCTCATATAAACTACACTTCAACTGCTTTCGGTGCAAGACACTTTGACTAACATTTTAAGAGGAAAAACATGCTCTAAGTGTTGAACCTACAGACTTAATATATAGACTTTTTTCTTTACTAAAATAATATCAGGTGTTCCTAAAGAAGCTTTAAGGAAGGTGTTTGTAAAGATTCTTCACCTCCTAGATACTACTGAAAGTACATTGATGAGAACTTGATCATAGAATATGATGCCTGGCTCTTAGTGATGGGGATTTACTTAAATTACACCTAATTACAGTCTTCAAGTTCCGATTTAAAAGACCAATTCTTATTCAAAACGGGTTCCATTTAAAAGAAAGAAAAAATACTGGAACAGAATGATTTTTATGATGTTTGTTTCCATTAACAGTTCTACAGTTCCACCATTTTCAACCTACACTACTGTTCAAAAGTTTGGGGTCAGTTTTTTTGTTTAAAAAAATGCATTAAATTGATCAAAAGTGATGCTGTAGGTTGCTGTATAATAATGATACTGTTCTTTTGAGCTTTCTATTCATCAGACTCCTTGAAAAATATATCACTGTTTCTACAAAAATAATCAAACAGCACAACCATTTTGATGATAATAAGAAATGTTTCTTGAGCAGCAAATCAGCATATTAGAATGATTTCTGAAGATCATGTGACACTGAAGACTGGAGTAATGATGCTGACAATTCAGCTTTTGATCACAGGAATAAATTACATTTTAAAATATATTCAAATAGAATTTTTTTTTAAATTGTTAAAAACTGTATACCAATTAAAAATGTTTTCACTATATTTTTGATCAAATAAATGCAGCTTTGGTGAGCATATGAGATTTACATTTTTTATTATTTTTTTTTATCTTAGTCCTGAAGTCCAGTAGTCTCGACCAGCATAGTCCGATTTGCAAACAAATGACTTCTTAAGTTGTTTTTAATGAAACTCATGAGCTATTCATTTAAATCATTCTTCTGAGTCACTTACTGAATATAGCTTATACTTTGGCTTGGATAAAAATTTGTTTTATCTTTGTGCTAGTCAGAAGATGATGAGTGACCCCTGCTCAATCTTGGCTAATACCAGTTTCTTTCCATTAAACCAAAACTGTAGCTCAAACAGGAGAGCACGGCACTAGCAACACCAAGGTCATAGGTTTGATTCTCAGGTAATGCATGATCAAATGTATACCTTCAGTGCAACACTTTGGATAAAAGTGTCTGCCAAATGAAAAAATGTCATGTAAATTTGGTTTAAA